CTCTCTCATTTCTCTCTCATATCTTGTCTAGTGGAAATATCTTTAATAACCCAACCGAATCCAACCAAAAAATATAAGGGTTGAGTTGGGTTGGATTGCAAACTTTATTCAGGTTATTCGGGTAGTATAATAGACGATTCCAAATTTTCGGGTTGGTCCAAAAAATCTCCCTAACCCGACCCAACTCAACCTGTGTACACCATAGCGAATACATTTTGTTATAAAAGTTCAAGCCAATTTTAAAATTTACCAATGTTAAGAGACTAAACTGAAAAATGTCAAAACATATGAGACTAAATTGAAAATTTTTAAAAATACATGCTAAGTTAGAAAAAACATAGGGGATTGGAATAATTACAAATAGCGTGGTCCGGAAGACAGCTGATAGCCTAGATATAGGCTAACACTGAGGCATCTCGCTCAATTGTATATAACTATGAGACCACAATCTCTCTCATATAAATAGGCGTTCACTGTCGTACCTAAGTATGCAAGTCTTATTCCGAGAGCTATAGATCGAATTTGTATTTAACTTTAGTATCATAATGTAGCGTTTTGTTCTTTTTGAGTATGTCTTCCTTCACAATATCTCGCTATTAATAACTCGGTTTATTCCACCTTGCACATGTTCTTAGGTCAGTCAGATTTAGATATAAAAAAGTTTTATCAATTTGAGATTTATTTATTTGATTAATTACCCTATTTGAGGTGGTAATGCAAGTGGGACAGATGGCGATCGACAATGATGGTGGTTGAAGCTCCTAAAATTAAAATATTTGTACAACAACATATTGGAGTAGGGGTTCGAACCCACGATCTTTTAGTTGGAGGTGTCGGGTGTGTTGCTCTAAACTCGTAGTTTGTATTTATGTAAAAACAAATTTATATTCAATAAAGGTATATTCAATCAATTTGTTTTTGAATTCATTGCAATTATCTAATCCAATAAACTAAACATCCATGGTTATTGTCATGTAACCGAGACAGTATATATACTGGGTATATAATTGATATACTCTCGATATACAAGTGGATAATGTCTCGGAAATAACCTGAAGGGTCTATGGTATATGGATAAGGCTGGATACCTTATCCTGGCAACACTATGGATACGACTCACTTTGTAAATGTTACAGACGACTCAATCCATGTCGTTCATGTGGAGACATGTGAGTGAGGGTATCCTTGAAATGAGTTTGTATAAGACCGGACCACAAAATAGTCGATCTTTAGATGTAACGTCGTTGACTAATAAATTGCTATTTCATAAGATGACCAGGCAACTCATTCTCAATCATGAGTGAATTATGGACTCCTGCCCATGAGGGTTTGTTCTTTGATCTATATGGGTGAGAGTGGCCCGAGTCGCCGACTCCACATTCCCACCATTTTGGGGACGAGACCAAGTGGGGAGGTGGGAATATAACTACACAAGATGGAATTCACTCCTCCCAATTTTAGGGGAGTAGATGAGTGTTTCCTTTAGTGCTGACTCTAGGACTTGAACAAGGGGCCCCACCTTCTCACTGGCCTGAGAGAGACTTCCAGTTATTGCGGAACTTAACTAGGTTGTTCATTAGAGTATCAGCGGTACTTAAGGTATAAGATGTAACACAAGGATACAACGATAATTTGACTCATCTGTAGTTACGAACACTCGTGAAAGATTGACTTGTCGTCAATGGTCGCTATCTGTAAACACATAAATACTCTATAATGAGAAGAGTTCAGCTGTGGGTTTTTAGTGGAGTAACTAGTGGTTAACGTATATTGATTAAGGTGGTTAATGAGTTTAACCGATTAATCTCGTAACGTTGGAGCTTCTGATCTATAGGTCCATTAGGTCCCCTTGTTAGCTCGTAAAGGATAATTAAGAACATTAAGTCTTGGAAAGAATTTGAATTGTTCAAATTTAATTAAAGAGAATTTGAGTTAATTTTGTATGACACAATTTAATATAATGTATGATGATACATTATAAAACTATATATTATGAGAAAATAATATGAATTGGATTCCTATTAAAATTATAGGTTAAAGTTTAATGTGAATTAGATTTATACTAAATATTATAGGTTAAAGTTTAATGTGAATTAGATTCATATTAAATACATAGGTTATGAGCGATAGGTATATTTGAATATGATTCAAATATTAATTTAATTAAATGTGATTTAATTAGATTATGTTTATTTAATTAATTAATTAAATAAGATTTAATTAATTATTAATTAAATTAAAATAGGTTTTAATTTAATTAATTATTTAATATATTTATTAAATTAAATATAATTAAATATATATCCATAATTAACAAGCACACCACCTCCTACCAAAATTGTTGGGGAGTGGTGAGGTGTTCCCTCTCTCTCTCTCTTCTCTCAAGCCTTCAAAACACAGAGATTCTCTCTATGTTTTGACTCCTACAGTTCTCGGTTGATTTTCCTGTAAATAAAATCTCTCTCTCAAAAATCTCAAATTATATTCCTTGTGTTTTCCTCTCCTTTCCAAGTAGAAAGGATCCCACAATCCTGATCTTGATCCTAAAGAGAATAGTAAGGTAACTTTGTGGTAGTGTCTAACTTCGATTGTGAAGAATTGTTCGTGTTGTCACAACGTTCGTGCTCGAGGAAGAGAATCCGTCAACGATCTTCAAATGTGAGTTTTTCTCTTCCCCAAGAGGCTTAACCTTATTATTAATAGAAATGTTCTATTTTTTTTTTTAAATCGGTATCGTTCCTTTTCTAATCCGAGTTGAATCACAAGCGATCAACCGCTTCCGCTGGGGATTCAATCCCTTCAGGAGGTATATATCTTAACGAGTTACGCTATACTCAAGTTGACAAGCTCTTAACATTAAAATTAGTCACTAATGAATATTGGGGATGTTAAAAAAATTTGGTGACCTGCAACCCGAACAACCCAACCTAGATTGGGTTACATTTTTTTGGGTTTGGGTTGGGTTGAATTTTTTTAGCATTGAAAATTCGGTTCGGTTCTCGAATTGGAGGTTTTTTGGTCGGTTCAATTGAGACAGAACAAAGCTAAATATATAATTAAAAAATAATATATATATATCAGGTTTCATTAGTTTTCTTCCCAACCACGATCTTCTTCCTACAAAAACAAACATAAATCTTTGCTTTATGAAGAGATAGTTAATGGATCTTGGTAGAAATATGAGGTGTTTTAGAGCATCTAAATCTGTAGATTGAAGGTCACCTTCTCGAACTTGAATAACAAGTGAGATTTAGAGAGAGTAGAGGGATTTTGATAAACATGTTTTCAGTCGTGGACCGATTCTGAACTTGAACAACAACAATGACACTTAAGAAATGATAGTCCGTACATTGTACCAAAATAAGAATATTTAAGCTCATATTTAGAAAAGGTACATGGCTCTAAATATATATAGAAAGCCTCAATACGTCGAGCAATACAATAGGTAAAGAAAGTAACCAACTATTACGTAGAGAAAATAGAAAACTAGACCAAGAGAATAACAAGATATATAACATTTTATCATCCACCGCAAGTAAAGTCAGGCTAAGCACTGTGAGCTTGGTGCGTTAGCTACTGAACCTCTGGGCAGAAAGAGGTTTTGTCATGATATCAATAAGTTGGTCCTCTGAGGGTACAAACCGAACTAAGAGCTGTTTATGAAGCACCTGCTCGCGAATAAAGTGATAGTCAATTTCGATGTGCTTAGATCGTTTATGTAACACTGGGTTTGCAGCCAAGTATGTGGCACTAATATTATCACACAGAAGTAAAGGAATCGAGGATAAAGAAACACCAATTTCTGACAAAACAGATTGGATCCATATTAATTCAGGAGTGGCATTAGACATTCCTCGATACTCGAACTCAACATTGGAACGAGATACAACTTTCTGTTTGGATGAAGACCAAGAGACCAAATTATTACCAAGGAAAATACAAAAACCACTAGTACTCCGACGATCATCTGGATAACTGGCCCAATCAACATCAGTATAACAAGTTAAAGCTTTATGAGGTGAGTATGCAAAGGTGATTCCAAGCCCTATCTGTATGTTTAATATAGCGAAGAATACGCTTGACAACAAGCTAATGTACTACCGTTGGGGCATGGAGAAATTGACACACTATATTGACATAAAAGCTCAAATCAGGACAAATAAGAGTGCAATACTGAAGAGCACCGACAATGGTACGATAAAGAGATGGATCATGAAATAGATCTCTATCATTAAGAGAAAGTACTTTACCAGTAGCCATCGGAGTATCAAGAGGTTTACAATGAACCATATTCGCTCGTTGTAGGAGATCAGTGAAATACTTATGTTGAGATATATGTAACTAATCACCACATCAAAGGACTTGCATACCCAAGAAGTAAGATAGTTCACCCAAGTCCTTTAAAGCAAACATGGAATTTAAGGAAGAAATAAAGTGTTGTATAAAAGAGAGGCTATTTCCAGTAACCAAAATATCATCCACATAAATCAAAATTATAACCAAAACAGATTTCTTGTTATAAACAAACATCGAGGTATCTAATTTCGAACCTTGAAATTCCCACTGAACTAGACATATACTCAGTTTCAAGAACCATTCACGAGGACTTTGTTTCAATCCATACAATGCCTTTCACAATTTACACACATGAGAAGGTTTATCTACATCAACAAAACCTTGGGGTTGAGACATATACACATCCTCTTGAACATCACCATTTGAAAAGGCATTATGTACATTGAGTTGCCGAATGTGCCATTTGAACTGAACGGCAAGAGAAATAACAACACGAATAGTGGCCGGTTTAATAATTGGGCTAAAAGTCTCAAAGTAATCAATCCCACAAGCTTGGTCAAAACCGCGAGCCACCAAACGAGCTTTATACCTCTCAATCTCTCCATTTGGTCGTAACTTGATTTTATATACCCACTTAAATCCAATAACCTTATACACGGATGATGGTTCGACAAGATCACAAGTACCATTACTAACCAAAGCTTGATATTCCTTAGCCATAGCATCTTTCCATTCAACACATTTAACAACAGTCCGAAAAGAGGTGGGTTCACTTGGAAGAGGATGGAAAATGGTAGAAGAGGTAAGCCATGCCTTAGGTTTAAAAATCCGGGTTTGGCACGTGTTATCATAGGATGAACATTGGTGATATGGGGTTGAGTGGTCACTGAGGTAGGGCTTTCGGAGATGGCAGGGACATGAGATTCACTATTGTCAGAAATGGTAGTGGGAGAGGAGACAAATGGAGTGGCATGGGATTCACTGTTTTTCAGAAATGGCAGTAGGTGAGGGAACAAATGGAGACGAGCTAGTATTAGTGGTAGGGGATGGATGGGAGATGGAAGTAATAGGCAAAGAATTTTGTGTTGCAGAAACTGAAGTAGTGGTGTGATGGTGAGCATTGTCACAATGAGAAAATGTAGGAGAAAAAGTAGGGAGACAAGAAGGAGTTGTTGAACCATGATGAGTAGAAAGAGGAAAAATGGGCAGGGAAGGTGAAAAAGAAGTGGGTAAAATGGAAAAAGAAGTGGAGGAAAAAGAAGAAGAATGAGAAGAAGTTTGTTTGACCGGACCAAAGGAAAAAGATTTTGATGCACACGAGAAACTAGATTCATTAAAAACAACAAGACGAGAGATATAAATCTGTCCAGATCCTAAGGGTTCAAGACACAAGTAACATTTATGATGAGAACTATATCCAATGAAAAGACACTCCGTTGATGGATGGGAAAAGGAAAACAAGCACACCTAAACGATTTAAGTAAGTGATAATCCATAATAGAGCCATAAAGCTTTTGGTAAGGGGAGAGAGAATTAAGAATAGGAGTGGGCAATCTATTAATAAGAAAGACCGCAGTTTGAAAGGCAAAGCTCCAAAAGGTTAAGGGTAAATGAGAGTGAGCAAGTAAAGAAAGACAGATTTCAACAACATGACGATTTTTACGCTCTACCCTCCTATTTTGCTGAGGAGTATAAGGGAATGAAATTCGATGGCCAATACCATGAGAATTTAGAAAGGAGGATACTCGGCGAAACTCACCCCCCAAATAAGTTTGAAGACATTTAATGGACTTGCCAAATTGGGTTTCAACAAAAGACTTAAAGGTTAAAAAGCAAGAGAAGGTTTCATGTTTGGACTTAATTAAATATAACCAGGAAAATCGAGTAAAATCATTAACAAATAAAAGAAAATACTGAGCTCCGTTAACAGAAGTTTGAGGGGAAGGTCCCCATTCATCAGAATGAACCAATTGAAAGGGCTCGGTAGTTTTTGTAGTAGACAAGTTAAAAGGTAAATGATGACTCATAGCTAACTGACATGAATTACAAAAATCAGGAACATGATCCTTAGAAGGAGAAACATGACAAAGAGACAAAATTTGCTTGAAAGTAGAAGCAGTAGGGTCACCTAACCTCACATGCCAAGTTGGGGCAAAATTAACCAAGGACAAACAAACAGTAGTGGGTGAAGAACGTGGATAGGATAGGAAATAGATCGTTGTAGACCAGGAGAGAGACGATATAATCCATCCTCAAGCGATCCCTGAAGAAGAACCATCTTGGACGGAAGATCCTTGACAAGAAAATAAGAGTAAAATTCAACAAAAGCTTAATTATCCTTACACAAACGAGCAATACTAATATTTCTTAGAAATGGCAGGTGTGTGAAGAACATTGTGGAGAATAAGAGGTTTGTAAGGAGAAGACAGTGAACCAATATAAGAGATAGACATTTTCTTACCATTTCCAACTGTGACTTGTTTACCACCATTATAAGGGCTGGATTGTAAAGGATGAAGGAGTCTGGAGTCATATGGTGAGTGGCACCAAAATCCATAAACCAGCTTTCATTAGGGTGTTGAAATTCATGTACAGAAGATGGATGGGTGGGTGAAGGTTGAACATTATGATAAAAAGCTTGAGGGGAAGTATTTTGACAAGCAAGATTGGTTCTATGATAACACACAGTAGCAGAATGACCAAATTGACCACAAATTTGACATTGAGTTTTGGAACCAGAGGGCCTGGGAGGCCATTTGTGAACACTCTGTGGCTTACCGTGTATACTTTGAGATTGAGCAGCAGAAATAGGAGGATTAGGAAAACATTGTTTGTAATGGTTGAGGAAGGAGAACTTCGGAGGAGGGCGTTTATTGTTGTGTTGAAGGGAAATATTGACAAGGTTTGCCTAAGCAATATTAAGCTAGTCGACCGTATTCTGTTTGTCCAAACGTGCCTCATAGGCAACAAGAAGACTGCGAACATCTTCTAAAGAAGGGGAATCAGTCCTATTATGAATAGATGTAACAAAGGCATTGTATTCACTCCCTAGACTATCTAGGACATGAGCTAAATGATCACGATATGAAAGAGGTTCACCAATGGCAGCAAAGCTAGATATTGACTAACAGATAATCCATCTTTCTTCAAACTTTGTAACTATGTTTTTAAGCCCATAATTCTAACTGTAGTCTTAGAATCATAAACTCTAGTTAGAGAAGACCAAATTTCTGACGTTGTTTCAAGAGATACAACTTCACCCATTTTCTCTTCAGATAGAGAAGAATAAATCTAGCATATTAAAAGGCGATTGTACCTTTCCCAAGTATAATAGGCAGGATTCGGTTGGAGTTGGTGGTGATCCAGAAATTGCGGCGGCGGCATTATTGTTCCATCAAGATATCCCTGAAGGCCACTGTTTTTCCATAGAAGGAAGTTGTTGTCATTAAGTTTGACATTTAGAGGCTGTGGTAGACTGGGAAAGGGACTTGCCGAAAATGGATTTGGAGGCTGGGCAAAGAAATTTGGTGTCGGAGGCGGAAATTGCATCGGGGCTGGCTAAGGATGAACATGATGGATTAGGTTGGGAGTGGAATATAGCGGGCACTGAGGACTTGTACTGGTATTTGGGTGCGAATGTGATGAAATCGGACGATTAGGAAAGGAATTTTGGTGCGGTTGTGATGGAGCTGAAGGGAAGAAATTTTGTGGGTAAAATGGGAGATATGGATATTGATTGAACAAAGGAAATTGATTTTGTTATGGGCTGGTGTTGATGAAATCAGGTGGGCGAAAGATGATGAGTTTGAGTGAGTGGAGGTGCCACTAGAGTGGAGAGATTAATCGGCCAGAACTGTGGTTGATTTGGAGTTGCGGCTAGAGTAGGGATAGGGGTAGAAGCTATGGAAGGAGTGGAGATGGATGTGGTCAATTGTCCAGAAGAAAAAGATGAAGATGCTGCCATTGACGCTGTTAGAGAAGAAAAAGGACCCTTAGGGCTCTGATACCAAGAAATGATAATCCGTACATTATACCAAAATAAGAATATTTTAGGTCATATTTAGATAGATATAAGACTCTAAATATATAGGGAAAGTCTCGATACGTGGAACAATACAATAGGTAAAGAAAGTAACAAACTATTACATTAGAGAAAATATAAAACTAGACCAAGAGAATAACAAGATAAATAGCATTTTATCATGCTAAATCAGATTTAGGGATCTCGAAATGCTAGATGAGCAACCTCTATCGATAATGCATTTTATCAGCCACGTTTAATGACATTTAGGTGGGAATTATTTGGCAATTTTCGATTATTCATGGCATATTTACATACATAACTTACTTTTATATATATATATATATATATATTGCAGGAATGGGTCATTAGACAGAATTGGAGCATAAATGATTTTAATGGAGAGGAAAATTTGAGTCAAAGTACAAAAGGAAATCTTAAAGCAGTGCCACAATACCATCACATAGCGCCATGCGCCTGCATACAAAAATTGGGCCTAATCTCATAATTACAGCGCTGCAATGTTGTCTTATAGTGTGATGGTGCTACGAGCTTTGCGTGTCTGTCACAATCTTAGGACAGCACCATGATGCTCACTGTTGAGATTCTTTACCTCGAAAGATAAGAGATTGTGTACAAGCGCATACGGTCACAAGTAATACAGGGAAAAGTAATTCCAAGTTCGTATCCTCAGAGACTTTTGATTCAAAATGAATTTGATGTAATATTTCAAAGTGTAATCGGGTTTTATTGGAAAAATAGGTGATGAAGTCGTAATTTGGTATTGCAAATATCAAGCTACTGAATAAATATAACATTTTTGCTTCCTACCTTTGTTTGGAAAGAATAACACAATGGTGAAAAAAGCGCTAGGTGGTACTTGACACTTTACTGGAAACTAAGTTTACTCTTTATCACAAATTGTTTTTTGTTGTTTCAGAGCCTAGTGTAGATCATATGTTTACGCCTAGTTACGCTCCTATAAAGTTATTACCAACTTACCTACTTTTATGGGTCAGAGGACCTATGTTTAGAATTATGTTCTTATGTCTAAGTCACATCCCATATTAACTCTCAACTAATTTACCTAACCCAACTCTTTCAGTATTATGCTTTGGTTTAGCAAGACTCCTTAGCGGCCAACTTAAGAAATTGTCTGAGAAATAAGTTTGTTGAGAAGCTAACCAATAAAGCGCCAGACACTACTTGAGATTTTTCTCTCGTGTTAAATTAAATAGATTTTTAAACATTATCTAAGAAATTCTTAAGGCACTCAAGAGGTAAGAGTGTTCTTAAAACGTTTAGTCTCCTATCACCTAGCAACAAACTTCCTTCCTAAATAATTATTTGAAGCTAACTATTTACTTGGATTATATACTAAACTAAGTATATCAAATCTAATTCATGACCCAATTCTAAACTGATTAGGGATAAATCTTCTATCATCTTATTCAGTTTACCTTCTGAGCTCTTGCACTCATCAGTTTTGGTGTTCTTGTCATATTTTCTGTAACAACAGTAGAAAAATAAATCAAGAAGTGACTTTGCCACATAAAATTAAATTGAGACTAAATAGCAAAGAAATAAAATAGCATAAAAACAAAACTAGTTTTTAAGTATTTAAAATTAACACATGAAAAACAATAAGAGTAAATAGAAGGTTGGTAGGATCAATCCTTACAAAGTGTAAAATAAATTTCTTTGATTTTGTCTATTTAAAACAAATTAAACCAAACTTCATGAACTGAAATCGACCTAATTGAACCAAGCCTGGAATACCGATGCTGCATGGTTCTTAAAGATTAGACGGGCAAAATTTGGAGATTTGGGAGCAAATTTGTATGGAGGTGATGGTCAGTTAAAGTCTTGGAAGCTTTTGCAATCAAAGAGGCAATCAATTCAATAGGAACTAACCTGAATGTAAGTTGTTTTTATGGAGTCTAGTAACCTGGAGGTTATGCGAGCCCTAAACGATGAATAAAATCTTTTAGAAGTTAGCATTTTCATAACAAGATTTGTCATGCTCATTCCTAGGGGTGTTCACGGTTCGATTGAATTTGGTTTAAGGGTTGAACCGAAACCAAAACCGAATATTTAAAAAAAAATTCAAATCGAACCAAACCGTATACCCCATATAAACCGATCCGAATATTCGGTTCAGTTCGATTTATACAGATTCTGAGTTGGTGTTTTTGTTTCTTATCTTCGAGAGATGAGGATGTGGTTGCTGGCAATGGCAATCTGATGAAGGTAAAATAGGTGGATGGCGACGGCGGTGGCAGAGAGCGAAGGAGGTGGCTGCCAACAATGAAGATGAAGAGTAGTGGGAAGGAAATAAACCAAAATTTAAGAATAAATGATAAATAGAAAATAAAGAAGGAGAAGAGGAAGAGTTGAGATGGAGAAGGAGAAGGAGAAGGAGAAGGAAGAAGAAAAGAAACAAAACTTTAAAGAAGAAAAAAGAGAAATAGATAATGGAGAAGAAGATTAGTTGAAAATAGGAGGAGAGAAGAAGATTAGTTGATAATAGAAGGAGAAGAGTTGAGAGGGAGGAGAAAGAGAAATAAAAACAAACCCTAACAGAATGAATAAAAATTTAAAAATAAAATAAACGAAATATTTCAACGAATTAGAAATTTATTTCAAAGAAAGAAAAAAGTTACGATGTGCCATCATTAATGGCCTGTCACGCAAGTTTTCAAGCGGTTCAGTTTTCTAAGCGGTTTTTGACTCTTGAAATCGGAATCGAACCGAAATATTCAGTTTGAGTATTTTATTAACTGAACTGAACCGTAAAGTCACAAAAACCAAAAATTCATTCCGATTTCGGTTCAATTTTTCGATTTTGTCGGTTTTGTTGATTTTGTTGTGCACCACTACTCATTCCTTTAGATTTCTTAGATTCTTCAGCCATGTTGAAAGACAAAAGAATCGAGTTGCCCATAAATTAGCCAGCTTTGCGGCGTCCTCACGTGTTCCACAAATTTGGGATGAGATAATCCCTTTTTGGCTTTCGACATTAAATGCCTCTGATGTTTAAGTTTTGTTTTCTTTTCTTTTACTAAATATAAAATAAAATAAAATAGCTACTTCACCAATTTGTTACCCTTTTAATGGTAGAGACCAAAATGAACATTTTTTTAAAATACAGACACAAAAATAACATTTTCAAATTACAGGACTCAAATAACCAAAACTAAATATATAAGGACCAAAAGAGTATTTTGACCTTAATTTTATTCAATAAATTAATTAACCTACCGAAATAAATTACTTATTAATAAAATATACAAACAATAAGCCAAAACCTTCGTTTAATTTTGTTTAAGAGCTAGAAAGTCGACCTTCAAATTCTGTCATTAACATAATTCATGACAATTATCTAATTGTCATCTATTAAGGCATCAAGAAAGAGGAGAAGATGAAAAATTTGAAAAATTGTTATCAATGCATTTACAACTACAGTTATACTTTATCATGAACTTTTCATCACAATTAATAAATGTCACAGAAAGTCATTTAATTACAATTTATAAGTGTCACTAAAACAATCAAATATTTTTGTCCTCCTATCAATAAATACCTAAAGACGAAAGTTTATAATTGTAATGAACTAGTATTTAACGACAGTTAAAAATTGACATGAATATTTTTTTAACGATTATTTATAATTGTCATGAAAACTTTTGTAGTGATAGTTTTAATAGTCAATATTGCCAGTTTTAACTATCACGAAAAATTGTATAATGACAACTTAAAAATGTCATGCAACATTAAATAATGACATTTGATATATGTCACGAAAAGGTTTACAACGACAATTTAAAACTATCATAATATAATAATGTCAACATTTAATTGTCAAGAAACGGTTTTGAATGCTTTTTTTTTGTCACGAAACCTATTTTGTTGACATATATAAATGTAACTTTTCATATAAACTTGTTTTGAAATGTTTTTAAAATCGCTTTTCATAGTTGTACTTAATACCCGTCAATTATGACGTATTTTACATACAAAAACATATATATCCATTAGTACACCAACCCACTTACAAATATAAAGTGTATACATATGTTAAATTATATATACATCAACGAAGGTTTTTCATGTCCATCAACCCCGTACGTAAACAAACTATACCAAGTAACTGCTAACCCAACAAAAAATGGCTCAACAATCATCTTTTAAATATTCAAAGCAGCTACCCGTCATGGCTCTCCAGGCTCTTCTTGGAAGACCTAAGCAATGAAAAAAACCTCAAATATTTCACAATAGTATCTGCGAAAGGTCAAACTACAACAAATATACCTAACATATTACTATTATATGTTGTTAGAGTTCATACCGTGTAAACGTGAAAGGTCAAACTACAAAATGTAGCTAACATATTATAGAAACTCTCGGCCCTGCTTCCTTCAGCCCTCGCTCCCACATGCTGAACAACATATTCAAAACAAACAATTAAGAAAACACGAATCTAACTTCGGCAAATATACACAAAAGTGGAGAACCTA